CACGCTAGACAACCTGCGATCACTGTTCCCTTTGGATCGATTGAGATGGATCGATCCGGAAAGTAGGGAAGGCGCGAGTCAAGCAGATCAGGCACGGGCTGAGGTCGTGTCCGAGATTGTGAACGTTGCCTGCCGAGTTGTGAACGACCTTCGCAACAAGGGGCGCAAGAGATTCGGCATCTCGGTGGACGTCACGAAGGTGGTCACCCTTCCCGAGAACGAAATCCAAGAGATGGGTCGGAGTCTAATGCAGGCGAGTCTGCGACGTGACATTGACCAGATGCTCCGGAGGTTCGAGGTGGCGTGGGAGTCGGCAATTGGGAGTCTAGAGAAGTCAGTGATACAGGAGCACCGTGATCCGAGCGGGGTTTGTGCGATCTGCTTGGAAGAGCCGGAGGTGGGGGATGAAGTGAGCCGCATGGGTTGCTCTCACGAGTTTCACAGCAGTTGCATCGAGAAGTGGCTAAAGATTGCGCATACTTGTCCTACCTGCAGGCACAAGTTACCCACGTTGTGATCTTTGCTTCTTGATCTTTTCTTTAATAGGTCAGACTCATGTAAAGTCGTGAAATAGATTCGAAACGTTGATTTGCTATTTTCCTATCTATCAATTCCATTATATGTTCTGATAATTTCTTTTGCGTGCACCATGCTTCATACATGAGAGAAAACACTTGGGCTGATCGATGAAGGAATGACACTTTGTTGTTGGAGAGCAATAGCATTGTGCTTGATGACTTCTCGAGGATTAGGATCACTTTCGAACACTAAACATACTACATGTATATTCAAGAATTTTAACAAAATAAAAAACGGCACGATGTGTTCTATACGCTATTGAAGTTCAATTTTCTCACGAACTCTACTAGATTGACTTAATTGGTGGTTAAGGAATGAGCTTATGAGTGTGAATTGGCTTAATTCAGCGTCATCGCCGTCTTGGTAAATCATATCTTTCTCGTTACTCAATTTGCCGCGGCCTTTCGCCTTGGATCATTTACGATAGAGCGATTCACTAACAGGAGGTTCCACATCTCAAACTGAACACACTCGGGACAAGATAATATCCGAGGTAACGAACATTGCGAATGCCATGATCAACGGCCCTCGTAATGTGGGACGTAGGGTGTATTGCATCTTGGTATCCATCTCTAAGGTGTTTGACCTTCCCTGACATGTTACCTCAAGAGGAGGCTGGCATTCCAGAAGAGGAGCGGCAGCGGCGTGACTGCTAAGTCCAAGATTACTTGCTTCGGTCGTTCCAGCCGGCCATATAAATCCCGAGCCCTGGATCCCCCAGCGGATCCACTTAAGAGCAGGTCTATTGGAACGAATGGATCAGCAATTCAAGGTTAGTCGGACGGTTTGCTCTCACGAGTTTCATGGTAATTGCATCGTGCAGTGGATAAGTCGGGTTGATACATGTCCCTCATGTCGACATAAGTTACCCAATTTGTAACTTTCTTTACTAATTAACTCTGTTAAGTAGCATGGTACTTTGGTTTTTGCTCAAGATGGGAACTTATATGATAATTAAGGAGTTAAAGATTATCATTTGATAAAAAGAGTACCAATAATAATCTTCAGACTCCATCTATTTATATCAATCAATAAAAAACATGGGAGTCCATCTTTATATGCTTTCCTGTTGTTTTCTTTTTCTCTTCGATATTGTTATGTTCTCTTAGATGTGTGCTGGTTATAGTAAGGGAAAATTGTTCAAAAAATCATAAACCTATTTCATAGCAGCGAATTCAATATTAAACTTTTTCAATTTAACTAATTTAATCATTAACCTTTTGATGATTTGCTAATGTAGTCCTTCCGACTAATTTTGGCCGGAAATCATCACAGTCCATTCTGTACCGGCTATCTCACGTGGCACAGCCAACGCTAACGTATGTAATTTTTTAATAAAATTTTATGAATTTTCTCTTTTTTCCCTATTTCCCTTTTTCGGTCACTATGGCCTTGGCGATGGCCGGTGGAGGCAGCTAACCACAAGCAAGGGCCGCAACACCCTCATTTGTGCTGACGATCGACGGAGAGAAATAGGAAAAAAAATTCAGAAATTTTTTCTAAAAAATGAAAAAATCATTTTTCTATTACTGTGTGTTTATAAACAAGTGGGCTTCTCATAGGCTCGAAATCAATTTGGGTTCTCAATTTGAAATGCAAGAAGTAGGGGTGTGCAAAAGAATCGAGAACCGCCCGGACCGCCCGAAACCAGACCGGACAGGCCCGGAACTGACGGTTCCCGTGAGGACCGGTCCGATTCCTGGTTCTAATTTACTAGAACTGGTGAGTACCAGTCCGGTTCCCGGTTCTAGGCGTGGAACCGCCCACCCGCCCACCCAGACTGGACCGGTAATATATATAGACATATATATAATTTTTTAGAAAAATTTCAACCAAAAAAAAAAGAAAACATTTTTAGAAAAATGAAAATCATAAAATCCCTAATCTAAAGCTCGACTCTCAACTCCCATCAACTCACGGCCGCGCTTTTAGCCGTTCATCGCCTCCTTCTCTCACTCTCGATCACCTCCATTTGTATTAAACTTGGTGGGATCGATTCCATGGACCCACTCGGGAACCGGACCGGATCGCGGTTCGATTCCTAGGTGGATCCATGGAACCAACGAGCAGTTTCTGGTTTCGATTTCTCGGAACCGGTCCTTAGTGGGCGGTTCTCAATTCCATGTCGGGAACTGCCCGCGTGGACTACGCTCACCCCCCTAGCAAGGAGTATTGCATATTGTCCAATGTCAAAGATACTGATGTTCGAGCATTAACTTCTTCTCTGTTTATAACTTTTATGCGAAGAGTTAAGTAGGGCCTTTTTTTTTTGAATTTGAAAGTACTTAAACAGCAAAGCCCACATCAGGGACCTCGAGACAAAGAAAATCCCAAAGAGGGTGAAGGGACGAGCAACCTAATGAGAAGGTAGATCATTCAATCTGTGGGCCTTGCAAAGCCGATCCGCTAACCGGTTAGAATCCCTTGAACAGTGAGCTAAAGAAAGGTGCTTAGATTGGCCCAAGACTTGGCGGGCCTCTATGATCAGCACGCTGACTGCCCAAGGGTGATGAGATGCACTCTTCATAGATTCAAGGAGAGAGAGAATAGCAAGTAAAGCTAGGGCTTCCGTGTGCAAAGGTGACGATGTCGGACCCAGGCTCGCCATGCCCGCCTCCAATGGTCCCGACGCATGGGAGCGAAGTTAATCAGCACGCGACATGGACGCTTGTATATTGTCGTTTTTCCTTTAAAGTACGTGCAAAATATTCGCCTTATCATGACAAAATTAAAAGATATTGTTATTTGAAAGTTGGTCAACTTGTGATTCCAAAACGAAGAATATACAAAAGCTATAATTGCCCCATCATTGGTTTTTTTATTTTATTTTTATTTTATCAGAGCCCCATTATTGGTTGACTCGTTTGGTTAATCACATTCGGAAAAATGATATGACGCGTCCTTGTGTTTTTATTTTTTTATATTATCCAGAAGTTGTCACGAAAATTTGAGGCCCGAGAGGATGATTTCATGAAATTAAAAAGATGTACCTACATCATGATCACATTGTTGCTTTTCATAAGGGGGGAAAAAGAAAGATTCTGATTCTGTGCCTACTTTAACAGCAAAATTATTCTTGTCCTTTCCTTCATATTTAAAAATAAAAAAAATTAGAATACATACATATATATATTTATGTCATTGGTGTACAGAAAATCTTACACAAGCAATCATAGTTACCATTGATTAGGGGATCATGATTACCTTCTTTCAGATCAAAGTTGTACGGCTTGTTCGTGTAGAATTTCTTTTGGCAATGTATGTTATAATTACTCTATTAAAAAAACTCGTTACTGATTAAAAGAAACGAGGAAGAGAATTATTTTAGGTGTTCGAAAGGATAATCCGTCAAATAAATATAATAAAGTGATAGTTTTTTTTATTTCTATTTTATTTCAAATGATAGCTCTTCTCACTTACTAATTAACTCAAGTGGACGGATTCGACCCCAAAAAAAAAAAAGTGGACGGGAATACCCTACTCTAGCACATAAAGATTTCCTAAGGAGGACAAAGTTAACATTGCCACTTGGACCTTTTCCTTTCTAATATTAATTTTATCTCCCCTTCCTTTTTTTTTTTTTTTTAAAAGTACTTGTTCGCACCAAATAAAGGGGATTGGCACGGTTTAGTCAAGTCGTTTTCCAATAAGTTAATTTGTTTTGGACGGGTTTATAATTTTCTCAAACCAAATCTTAGTATAATTGATTCTGTACCGGAGCAATTCGAACTTAATATAATCAAATTAGCCCTTCAACATTCCTCACCATGGCCAATCAAAAATTTGCAAATCATAATTTTCATCATGAGCTTTGCGTATGATTTGATAGAAAGTGGAGAGGAAAAAGTTTGACATCTGATTTGGCAGTTCAGTTGCGTATCGGATGGATCGAATTCTGATCAAACTTTGTAAACACAGACATTGAACCCGAACCAAACCTGAAACTTCGATTCTTTTTCGATTTGGCTCTTAACGATTTGAACCGAACTATAATCACTCGATCACCCACTTTTTCTCTCATGAGAAGCAATATTTTTCCCTAATTCGCTCGAGCAAATATGTTGACCACCCGTGGTTTATCCGTGCAACAATGATTCATCTCAAAAGTAACTACTTTCAATCTAAAATTGCTTCGTCAATACAGATTACTAAAGTAGGGACGAAATGAGACAGGATACGGAAACATAAGGACCAAAACAACATAAATAAGAAATATAAGGGGTGAAAGTGGAAATAAAGAAAAACACATATGCCCACCGTGACGGTGAAGTCACGACAAAAAAACGTTCCCCGAAAGGTGATCGGCACCGATGTCTCGCCTGTCGCTCCGGCCAGCTCATCGCTCGCCACGTGTCTCGATCCCCTCCGTCCATCTCGCATGCCCATCTCGTAGACCTCATCATCATCATCCATCGCCCAAACAGAAACTGCTGAATTGTTTTTTTTTGTAGATGAAAGCGCAAAAACCTAAACTTTCACGCCATTTTCTCAGTTGCTTACCTTTAATCAATGCTGGCCTTCAGCTTCTAAGTTTTGCCTTTGCGTTTCCTCTCTCCAACATTGATAAAACCCTCTCATCTACCAGTCTTCCCGACCTACTCCGACCCCAATGCGTGCGCAGAGCTCTCGCTGAAAGCGCCACCCCCACGTTTCCTTCCTGCGGGGAAAATACACCCCACGTTCGGATTCTTGGGTACCTATCCGATTTCCGCTGAAACCCTCGAGTTCGCGGGGGGATTTCTGCGATTGGGTGCCTTAAAGTTTCGATTTTTTTTTTGGCAGTTTCTTGTTTTTTTCGGGTGTTCGATGACTTTTTATGAAGAAGATGAGGTGGTTCCGGAGCTGAGGGTGAGAGTCGGGGAGGAGGGCGAGGGGAACAAAGGGGGTTATGTCGACCTGGGAATGCGAGATCGCTCGGGGAATCGCGAAGCGGAGAGAGATCCTCCTTCTCCCAGAAGAAGGTGTAGACGGTTCGTGTGGTATCTGGCGAAGCTGTTCTTGCTGTTCTCTTGCCTGGGCTTGTTGGCTGGGGTTTGCATCAAATGGGTCTGGCCGTTTCTCATGGACAAGGTTTGGTGTTGTTGTTGGATATAAAAAAAATTTGTTGCGTTTATGTTTTTGGATGCTTATTTATGTTGACGCATGTATTTGTTGAGGCTTGATGTTTAGTTGATTGATCGTGTTGGCTTTGAGTGTGGGTTTTGGGGACCTAGTGTGTTAGTTTCGATGATAAGATGGTGGGGATTGTGTTTCGATATTTATTCTTTGATTATGTTTCATGTGACAATGCATTGTAATTTACTCAATTTCGTGGGTTATAGCTTATAATGGACTATGCAAGGCAATGTTTTGCCTCTGAAGTATGTGGCCTGTCTTTGTTAATTGGTCTCTGTTCTTGTACGGGTATGCATTATTTGGTTGATTGGAATTTTATTATATCAGGATTAAAATGCTTAGTTGAGCTTGCCCATTGATGTGTATTCTATGTCAGAATGCCCCTCTTTTAGAATGCTGGCAGTTGAAAGTTTTGCTTGAACATACAGTCACTGCTCATTTTCTGGTCCAATCTGATGTAACCTGCATTGTGGAGGTTCATAACCATCTTTGCGAAGTTGCTTTTGGTATCAATTTGTATCAGTCCTAATTGGTTTCCTGCATGTTCTAGTTTGGCTATGAAATGGGCTGACATACCAAGACTATCATTGTAGTTATCATGGCACCGTGAGACAGTATTGATTGTCAAGTGTTCTACATTCTGAGAGTGTAGATCTAAATTATGTGCATTCTGGAGTTGGTTAGTGTGGAAAACCTATCAGAGCTCTTGGAAAGTTCGCAGGTTTTGTGTTAATCAGTATGGCAAGTTTTCACTGCCCTTCCTTATTGTGGTGTGCTTCGTTTGCAGGAAGTTATCCCCATAATAAACTGGGAGACCGCGACATTTAGTCATCCGGTTCTTGCACTTCTAGTCTTTGCTTCTGTGGCTATATTCCCCACCCTGCTCATACCATCAACCCCTTCCTGGTGGGTTGCTGGAATGACATTTGGCTATGGCTACGGATTCTTGCTGATTATGTCAGGAGTAATTGTGGGTGTATCGCTTCCATATTTCATTGGCTCTCTCTTCCACCAGAAAATTCAAGTAAGTATCTTTATTAGTTGTTGGACAAACTATAAGTGACGTAAGTTATGAAACATAGATATTCTTTGTGCTTGCGTTCTTGTTTTACATTACCTTGTATTCCCATGCAGACCTGGCTAGAAAAACATCCAAAGAGAGCTTCCCTGATAAGGTCAGCTGGCAGAGGAAATTGTTTTGATCAGTTTCGAGCTGTTATTTTGATCAGGATATCTCCATTCCCTTATATTTTATATAACTACTGTGCTGTGGCGACAAATGTGAGATACTTCCCCTACATTCTTGGGTCGCTGATTGGTGTCGTGCCAGAAATATTTGTTGCAATTTACACGTAATCTCTCTCTCTTTCTCTCTCTCTCTCTCTCTCTCTCTCTCTCTCTCTCTCTCTCATACACACACACACTCACAAAGTGGGCACGTGTACACACACAAGCATGGACGCTCGCAGACATATCTTACATGAGTTTAAGGTTATTCAAACACTGTTTAGGCACGTTTTTAACCACTTAAATATATGTCCCTTATGCGTGCTTCTAGAATTTTCATGTCGTTGTCATTATAGACTTCATAAACCTTATATGGTGATTTTCTAGTTCAAACTAAATCTATTTTTTATATCACTTGGTGCATTTCAGTATATTATGTAATGGTGAGCAAAAGAAAATTATTCAATTTGGGTTAGGGGAATACTTTGAGGTTGACTGTCTGCATGTGCTTGGTTCTAGTATGCTCCTTACATGTAGTGCCTCAGATTCTTCTGGATTGCACTAAATTTGAAGAATAGAGAAACCTATCCTCTTTCTATTTAGTCATTTTCTCTGTCGAACTTATGGATATAACTTTGGTTGCAGGGGAATCCTGATAAAAACTCTTGCTGATGCTTCTCACGATCGGCACTCTCTATCTGCTCCCCAGATAGTAATGAATGTGCTTGGCTTCTTGGGGACAGTTGCTACCACGATTATTTTCACTGTTTATGCAAAAAGGCAACTCAAAACAATTCAGAGGGAAGGGGAGCCATTACTAGAATGAGATGGCTCCTGCACTGGGTTGAAATGTAAAGATTTGCGCTCAGAGCACTTAAGGTGGCACATCTGATTGCAATATACTGCAGGATGAGGTTCATTTATTATGGAACTTCAATCTGTTGTGAAGTTGATTCTTAATGGGAATGGCATTCGAGTAATGGTAATGGTTGGGAGTCAAGACTGGTATCTAACATGATTCTACTTTCTGGATCGAGCATAGGGGAAGTTTTCATGTTCTAGATCTGAATCATTCGATACTCTGAAACAACGGTGATATGGCAAGAACCTGATCTTCCTTGTTGCCGAATAATGCCTCGTCCATTAGGTAAGCAGGTTCTTAGTTATCAGCTGTATAGGGTTGAATCTGTTTCAGAAGTTGAAACCAATTCATGCAGATTCTTGTCTGTATATAAGAATATCAATCTGATTGACTTGGACACTCTTGTGGTTACCGTTTACTGTCTTTTAACGGGCAAATTCCTACGGATTGTTACTTTTTGGCTGTTTGAGTCATATCTTTATTCTTATCATTTAGAGGATGATCAGGGGAAATAGGACCCGTTGTATCCTGTCGGTCATGTGGTAGGTCACGGTTCCAGACGTTCTCTTTCGGGTGGTTGTGCATTTGAATTTTCACAATAAAACCCAATAATTATCACATATTTTTCATATACATATAATGAAACTTGAATATAATACTAGAGGTGGCAAATGGGTGGGTCGGTCCTGATTAGGGTGGGTCATAATTGGGTATGATCCAACTTGTACCTGGTCCAACTTGTACCTGGTCCAACTCGTGGTTGAACCCAAATTCACTCAAATAACTAACATCAGCAAGTATAAAAACGTAAAAATGAAAAAAAGATATGCAAATGTTAAATAATTAAACAGTAGAAAAGAAAAACATCATGCAGAATTAAACAAATAGAAAATTGAAAAATACTTCAAATTAAATTAACAAAATATAAGAAAGTTGCGTCATGGTGCATATCTAAGACATTGATACGAGGCCGTCACGACGCCTGTGCTGTCTCTGTGTCCCCTTATTCGCCACCTCCGGCGACCTCGTGAACGCAAGCGGCGAACGCCGTTTGTGTGAGTAGTCACAAAGGGAGCCATGTCGCGGCTTAGAGTTGTTACCATTAGCGACGTTGCCGGCATGATCTATTGCTCGTTCGATGTCGCCGGCAGTGGTGAGGCACTGCCATGGCGAGCTACCTCCTCCTTTGAGTTCGAATGTTGAGCTTTTCTGTTTCTCTGTTTCTTTTTTGTCTTCACGTTTTTTCAATCCGTAAGTTTTTTGGGTCGAATTGAGCTATTAATAGGTTGAATCAATAGCTCTAGTTGGGCTCTACTGTGATAAATTAATTCCAACCTCTTGCTAAAACTTTCGGTACCACATAAGCTACTTGATCCATTAAATATGAGTCAAGTCAAACGGATCATCGATCCATTTTGCCACTTAAATATCACACACTATATCGGTTTGATGTTCGAACCTCAACCCACATTTGGTGAAGACTTTTACTATAAAAATAGAGTGCGTACTTACATGTATGTATGTAAATACCAGTTTTCTTTTTTATAGAACTGGCTTATATGATCGATCTGACATTGTTAATACATAGTTATAGTATAGATCATCTGATGGAGAATGTGTAAGTAATTATTTACGTCGGTAGGGAACCTTTTTTTTTGGTCGAAAAAACTTGCTTCCATTTCATTTACGTAGGTAAAGTAAGGAACAACCCAAATGCGCTTCAGCACAAAGAACATCCATGAGGGGTTTGGGGGGATTGGACAACCAGCTCCGAGGAAGTAATTATTTAGTTCGGTAAGGAACCTAATCGAAATGTAAACTTCATTTATGTAGATATTACATTACTATTCCAAAATCATTAGTTTATATTTAGTTGGTGCCATGTCATGCGATGTGGGGCTACTTCATAAATTAATAAGCACGTGCATGACCATGCGGCGTAACTACACGCTTCTGTATTCACGTCTAATTTTGCTAAGATATATTAGATTGGATCGATCTAGGTCAAGTTTTATCAATCTTTTGAATCAGTTATATCCATATCGCATCGACTTCGGGTTTTTCTTTTTCTCTAAAAGTTTACGAGTTTAGTAGGGTATGAGAAACCCGGTTCCCGGACCTGTTTTTTGGGTGATCCGGTCCGGTTTCCATCTGAAACCGGTCCGGTTGCACACCCCTAGCGTCTGTTCTCTTTGCAAGATCTTACTGAAAATGCATATATAAGCTGGACTGGGCCTTGAAAGGATCGTGTGTTAGCCGATATGGATTGATGGTGGACCGGCAACCGAATAGATTTTCGGACGGGGAAAATTACTCTGCTTTGACTTGGGTTGGATCATGTGAAAATGTGAAGTGGTCACTAATGGAGGTCACAGGGGAGAGTATAACATGTGAAAGGATCATCGGCGCAATCAATGTCAAGAGCTCATCTGGTGGAACGTGGATGTCCGGCGAGAGAGGCCACCACAAGGAAGGAGTCACATTCGTTTGGATGGGTTTTACTCTCTCATATCAGAAACCTCCATTCCGTCCGGCGTTCTTATTCTGAAGCTTGGTGGGGGAGATGCGACTTGTCCCGTGATTGCCAGATCGAGGCGTGTTGTAGCTCCGAATATAAGTACTCGAGATGAATCTCCGCCTAATCAGTTAGTCAGAGGAGACTTATGAGTGATAATTTGATCATCAGTTCGTGTTGTTTGTTCGCAATGGCTTTGTTAAGATACCAACTGAGATGGCCTTAGACCTCGTTTGAGTTATTCCCTAAGAATGATTAATAAGCTTCATGAGCGTGTGGGAGAGCAAAACAGAGAGAGATTCCCTTTTCAAGACAACAACAAACGAAAGCGGGCAAATTTATTACAGGGCTCACTGAAGAAAGGGCAAAGGAAAACAGGGAAGTCTACCTGCGCTAACTGCCATTTCATTACTGTCTTGGAGCTGGCCCTCTTTGTACTCGACATCACACGTTCTTGCCACCATATTCGATCGGGGTTGCACTCGACACGTTATCGACTGGTTCAATCGCAACTGCCGAATAGCGATTCATCCAATGGGGAAATCTCATATGATCGTCGACAAATGGCCCCGGTTCGCGCAAGCGGGACTGACTTTAATTCCCTTTCTTCCTCTCCCTCCACGCATCAATGCGTTTTCTTCTTTTAGCGGGTGTGGAATGCCCAAGGTGCTGTCTTTGACGTGGAAATTGGGGCAAGCAACAATGGTAGGAACACATCAAAGACAGATCGGCATGTGTCATTGCGAGTGAGGACCACCACAACACTGGATGGACAACTCTGCAACTGCTAAAATTAACTATTCACTGCTGAACTTATATGAAGTCGGTGCGTCCCCCAAAAGGGTTCTGCTTAATTATTGCTTTCCTCTTGGGGGGCGCGGACCAAGAACCCATTTAAGGCAAAGGCAGGTGCAGGGTGTTTAATAGCTGAAAAAGAAATCCCCTTGAATGCATTGAATGCGATGGCCACCTTTCGAGTTTCGATTTCATTTTTGTTTTATCATCTGTTCGTTTATTTGTTTTGTGGTTGTGGGAAGTGAGGAAGGTGGGGGAGTTGAAGCCAGGGTGGAATCACATGGTCATTTTCCCATTGTAACTTTCCTGACCTTTGAATCTTCTGTTCCCTTTGCTTGGTCAATGCTACCTGACAAACCAAATCATGAAGTAGAGCAGAACGTGCACGACGAGCACCAGAAGCTTTCACTCGAAGGAAAGCTTTTAGCAGACAACAGAAACCCAAGAGAAGAATTGTAGACTGGGTAAAAAGTCATCTTATAGATCATTATCGTCACGATGTAAACCATGCATCATGCTTGAAAATTTGCTGAAACAAATTTCCACCTGGCACGGCCGAGGCAAAGAATACAGGTGCATATCTGTCCGTTCAAGGAATTGGTCTCGCCCCTGAATTGTTTGTTTATTGGATGAATGGCACATCTCATCTACTTCATACACGAACGAATAATAATTTTGCCTATATAAACAACATGATAAAACAATACCCAACCAATTGAATGTCCTCTCGAGGTCTCCATCCAAACGGCTGGAAGAGAGGAAAAAGTACTGTCGATTCACAATTGCACAGTGTAAAAGAGAGAACAAAATGAACCCCCCACAACTCTCTCTCTCTCTCTCTCTTTCTCTGTCTCGTTGTCTCGTTGTCTCTTTCTTTTTCTTTTTCATCTTTCTCTTCTTTTGGAGTTTCCATTCCTACTGCAGCTATCGCGCACATGAAACAAGAAGCGAAGCAAATGGAAAAGCTTTCCCATTTCTGCTAACAAATCGGGTCTCCGGTGTTTGTGCGGGTTCAAGAGAATGAAAGATTATGGTGTGGTGGTGATGATGGTGGAGCAGGCGTGGTTGGTGAGAGAATAAATGCTCTCTTTCTCTCTCTCTCTCTCTCTCTTTCTCTTCTCTCACCCACACTCACCAAAGAACAAATTATAAGGTCCCTCTCGATGCTACTTTGGTGATTCAATCAATTGAATATTGAGAGAATAGAGACAGAGACAAAATCAGAATGGGTCTGTGCTTTTCTTTAATCCTCACTGCATGTTCCATCTTTTCTTTCTGGTTTGCGAGATAGAAAGAGAGAGAAAGAGAGAAGAAAGAAGCTGCACATGCTCAATCAACGTGCTTCCTTCACCACTGGTTGCAATTTTAACATTTGATTAGTGCCAGAAACTTTAAAACATAAATATGAAGTGAAATTTACAACAGACATTAAATAAGCGGGTCATACTTCAAAGTACATGTCCATTATTTTTGTTAGTATTACATAGAATAAGGTTAGGTTAGATATGTAAGAGATCTTTCTTCCTTAAAACTAAAAAAAATTGCGCAATTAATAAATTTGAAGCCTCTCTCCAATTTCTTGCTTCCTTTCCAGCGAAGCCCATGTCACTTAATGCAGCTGCCACTTTCGTTGCATGACTCTCTCTCTCTCTCTCTCTCTCTCTCTCTGCGTGTTAAATTTAGGAAACTTCTGCTTTTGATGCAACCCCAGACAACAAAAGACCTTCATCATTCTTGGGCTTGACCCAGAGAGAGAGGATCACCCAAATCGATGCTTCGCTGGGATTTCCATTAAATTGCTGCTTGTGCATAAATGTGCTCAGTCAATGATAACCTCCTTTATCAGATCACAGTGTGAGCGAGCGCTCTTGCTTTACTCAACGATCAGTAAGATGTGGCATTTCTCATTCTTGAAAGTTCGCGTCTTCAGCTCTGCTGGAGTGTGGGCCGCTGAGGCTGCCGAACCCTTCTATCGCGCTTCGTCTTTGTGAGCTGAATCAAGCACCCATCATGCCAAACGGTTAGATCCGGCGAATTCACCATCTGGGTTTCGAGCATGAGAAGTCTCGGTCAACACCCTCTTCTCTCTCATGCTCTTGTGCTCGTGATCCCTTGCTTTGTCTGCATCATTTGCGAGGTCTCGCCGG